GGCTGTTTTCTTGCAGACGATTCATAACCCAGCAAGGTAACATCATCAGTGCTAGAAGGGATTGGGGTTGGTGCTCTGTTTATATACAGGTAGTCCCCCACTTAACAACAGTTCGTTTAGTGATGATTCCAAGCTACAAAGCACTGAGAAAAGTGACTTTTCACTGTTTTTCACACTTATGACCGTTGCAGCATCCTCATGGCCACGTGATAAGAATTCGGACACTTGGCAACTGGCAGGTATTTATAATGGTTGCATTGTCCCCGGGTCATGTGATCCCTTTTTTCCACATTCTGACAAACCAATGGGGAAGCCAGTTTCCCTTAACAACACATTGCTAACTTAACAACTGCAGGGACTCACTTAACCGCAGTGGCAAGAAAGATTGTATAATGGGGCAAAACTGACTTAACAAATGTCTCACTGGGCAACAAAATGTTGCAAGTCGAGGACTACAACCTTGTACAAGTGCGTTGCCCTGCCAGCACTGGCGGGAGTGTTCTTAGTGGTGCTTCAATTGGGGTATAATAATAATGCAGTTGGAAGGGACCTTGGAGGTCATCGAGTCCAACACCCTGCTCAGGCAGGAAACCCTACACCAGGAGTAGGCAACCTCGGCTCTTTTATGACTCGTGGACTTCAACTCCCAGAATTCCCGAGTCAGCCATGCTGAGGAGAAAGGGAGAGGTTTCCATGCTGAGCCATGTTGGCTCAGGAATTCTGGGAGTTGAAGTCCACGAGTCATAAAAGAGCCAAGGTTGTCTATGCCTGCCCTACACCATTTCAGACAAATGGCTGTCCAGTCTCTTTTTAAAAACTTCCAGTGTTGGAAGCATTCACAGCTTCTGGAGGCGGGTTGTTCCACTGGTTAATTGTTCTCACTGTCAGGAAGTTTCTCCTTAGTTCCGAGTTGCTTCTCTCCTTGATTAGTTTCCGTCCGCTGCTTCTTGTCCTGCCTTCCATGGGGCAAAACTGACTTAACAAATGTCTCCCTGAGCAACAAAATGTTGCAAGTCGAGGACTACAACCTTGTACAAGTGAGTTGCCCTGCCAGCACTGGCGGGAGTGTTCTTAGTGGTTCCCCAATTGGGGTATTATAATAATAATAATAAAGTGGGAAAGGACCTTGGAGGTCATCGAGTCCAAGTCCCTGCTCAGGCAGGAAAGAAACCCTACACCATTTCAGACAAATGGCTTATGACTGGTCACTTAGCAACCATTCAAATTACAGTGGACCTTCCTGGGGATACTTACAATCCAGTTCCAAAATTCCAACAGCCACCACCCCCTGGTCACATGACCAGACTTCAAGGACTTGTCATCCAGGCCACATTATGCCAGTTTGTAGTGTCCCGCGGTCATGTGACTGCATTTTACAATAGCAGTCACATGACAAGTTTCTTCTTTAAAACTTCCAGTGTTGGAGCATTCACAGCTTCTGGAGGCAGGTTGTTCCACTGATTAATTGTTCTCAGTGTCAGGAAATTTCTCCTTAGTTCTAAGTTGCTTCTCTTTTGGGTTAGTTTCCACCCGTTGCTTCTTGCCCTGCCTTCAGGCGCTTTGGAGAAGAGCTTGACTCCCTCTTCTTTGTGGCAGCCCCTGAGATATTGGAACGCTGCTATCATGTCCCCCCTCGTCCTTCTCTTCGTTAAACTAGACATACCCAATTCCATTGTTCTTATTGGTATTGTTGCTTCAGAGTGCCATCAGATGCTTTTCTTAATGCATCTTTACCCTCCCTCTCCCGTGGATCTTCCTGTATGGTTTCTTTTGGTCCTTGACTTACAATGATTTATTTTGTGATCAAAGTTACAACAGCACTGGAAAAAAAAAGTGACTTATGACTGTTTTTCACATTTACGACTATTGCAGCATCCCCATGGTTACGTGATCCAAAATTCAGACGCTTGGCGACCGATTCATATTTATGACGATTGCCCTATTCTGAGGTCATGTGATCACCTTTTTGGCAATTCGAGTCTCACTGGCTCAAGGTTGACTCAGCCTTCCACCCTTCCAAAATTGGTAAAATGAGGACCCAGATTGCTGGGGACTCTGTAAACTGCTTAGAGAGGGCTGTAGAGCACTGTGAAACGTGTATATAAGTGCTATTGCTAAACTCAATGGGGAAGCCAGATGCACTTAACAACCGTGTTACTAATCTAACAACTGCAGTGGCTCGCTTAACAAATGTGTCAAAAAAGGCCGTAAAATTAAGAAACGTCTTAGCTTAGCAACAGAAATTTTGGGATCAATTGGGTCGTAAGTCAAGGACCACCTGTACTTCATTCTTCCTGGCAAAGAAAAGTTTTTAACCATGAGCCAAGCCCGTCGTGTCAAACCTCTTTCATCACTGAACTGAGACCACCCAATTAATGCTTATGATGCAGCGGCTCATGGGTGCGGAATGCAGCATCCGGGAGAATTTATTTCCTCTCAGCTTTAGTAGAGAGTAAGAAAGATGACTTTGACAGAGATACTCAAGAGAGGCTGGAGCATTTTTACATGCAGAACAACCAGATAAAGATTCAGAAGTGGCTTAGGAAATTTACAGGTAGTCCTTGAGGTACAATCATTTGTTTAGCAGCCATTTGAAGTAACAACAGCACTAAAAAAAAGTATGACTGGTGTTTTTATCCAGCATTAGACTATAGTTAATGTATTTTTACTGTCAGGTCAGTATGATTCAGTTTTTCTGAAGCTAGCTAGTTTTTTTTATACTGTCTGTAAAACTAGGCAGACCTTGCTCACCCATTGATTACATGATTAATGGTAATGTATTGCTATGTCTTCTTGTGTTGGTTCTGTTTAGTTTTGTTTTATTTGAATATTTATGTGTTGACCTTCGGCTGTAATAATAAATTGATTGACTTATGACTGTTTTTCCGTGTTCACAACCACTGCAGCATCCTCATGGTCATATGATCAAAATTCAGGCACTTGGCAACCGGTATATACTTAGGATCTCTACCCACATCAACACCAAACAGCATCAGTTCGATTGGAGCAACACTAAATTAATCATCGGCCAGGCTACCACATGCCACGCTCATGAGTTCATTAAAGCCTGGCACTCTACACACAATTCCATCAACAGACACACTGACCCACAACCAGCTTACAAACCCCTCAGAATCCAAGTCAACCGCACAGCCAACCAGAGACGGCAACAACCTTCAACCAACACACACAAGCTCCCCCCTCCACCAGCAGTTCACCTCCCAATGACCCTGACCTGATGTAACTTACCCATCACAAGATCTATCGCAAGACTCACTGATGACTCACACCTGACCCATCACAAGACCCTCACTCAACACACCCACACCTGAAGCCCTTATAAATAGAAGAACACCGGTACTGACATACCCTAAATCAGGGGTCTGCAAACGTGGCCCTTTTATGACTTGTGGACTTCAACTCCCAGAATTCCTCAGCCAGCTTGCCTGGCTTAGGAATTCTGGGAGCTGAAGTCCACAAATCATAAAAGGACCAAGTTTGAAGACCCTTGCCCTAAACTCTGCTGAAGATGTTACCTAGCCTGGTAAATGAAATGTTCGGAAACCAACCCACAAGCTCAGAGAACGAAACTTCACCCTCAAATAATTATCATTAGCAGATCCCAAATCTTGTAAGCATTCTGCACAGGACATTCTGCATAAGAATGGGGTCATGTGATCACCATAATCACATGACCCCTGCATAAGGCACTCTGAATAAGAATGTACTATGCAGGGGTCACGCATTCACCATATGTAACCTTCCCAGACAACGTCCGACAAGCAAAGTCAATGAGGAAAGCCAGATTTGCTTAACAACTGCATGGCTCACTTCATAATTGTGGCAAAAAAAGGTCATAAAGAGTGGCAAAACTCACTTAACAACTGCCTTGCTTAATAACAGAAATTTTGGTTGTTAAGTTGAGGACAACCTGTACAGCAATTTCCAACTACTACCACTCCATCTGGTTGCTTCTCCCTCACCAGTAAGGATATAAAGCACACCCAAGAAAACTTTTAACTGATTTTTTAAAAGCAATAAACTAAAGTTGCTTAAAAATAATAATAATAATCCTGGATCATTTTCTTGCATGCTCCTTTATGGGACACAAATTCCTGACATTTTTGGGGCCAGGACAGCACAAATACAGTGGCACCTTGGTACTCAACTACTTTGAAACGCATCGAATTTGGAACTCGGTGCATTTTGATGCAAACATTTTGTCCTGGTAACTCATCGTCACCATTTGTTTGGTACTCAAAGTGCAAACTAGAACTTGTCAGGGTCGGCTGCCTTTTGACTCCCGGTATTCCTTATGGCAGGGGTCCCAACCTGTGGGCCACGGGCCGGTACCAGTCTGTGGCCTGTTGGCCACCGGGCTACGGGAATGGCTGGCAAGTGCGCACACATGTGCATGCATCCTCCCCACTTGCGCTACTGCCACCGCGCAGCTGCTAGTGGCCCCATTCGCGCATGCATGGGGGCCGCCATCGTCATGCAGGCGCTAGCGGCCCGTTTGTGCATGTGTGCGGGTGCTAGCGGCCCTTGTCCGTGTGTATGGGCGCTAGTGGCCTGTCTGTGCATTCACCGGCACTGCCACTAGCGCTGTCATGGTTCACGCGGCCCACTTGTGCATGTGCATGGGTCCTAGCGCCACCACTGTGCACACACCTGTTTTGCACAAGCACAAGTACCGTATATGCCGGCGTATAAGACGACTCAGCATATAAGACGACCCCCGTCTTTGGCGCCGATTTCAGCGCCCGCGGAAGTTGCCTTATACGCCGGCATTTACGGTACATTTCCCTCCAGGCCGCCAACTCGGAAAGGCTGGGGAGCTCTGCCTTATGTGGAAAATGTATTTGCTACTCATCGCAACTCCTGGAACCAATTCACGATGAGTACCGAGGTACCACAATTTTGCAAGGTAGATGCAACCTGGCCATGGCTGTCAAAACCACAGCACTTTGGCTAGAAAATAAAACCAGAAAACGACTCACCTGACATCTCAGCTGACCCCCACAACTCTTCTTCTAAGGCTTTGCGGGATGTGGCCTTCCCCTGGTACCGCTTATCAGCATCCAAAAGCTGAGAGGCAATTCCTTTTCGTATCTGTCCAACAGAAAGGACATCTTCATCAAGGTTTCCTTCGTCAAACTTGTCAATCACTTTGGCTGCGGTAGCTGTAGAAAGGAAAACCAAGAGGTGGTTATTTTGGGTTCCATTTCATCCTTTCTCAACAGACTCTTGTAGCATGACACCATAGGTCAGGGGTCTTCAAACGTGTGCCTGGCTGAGGAATTCTGGGAGTTAAAGTCCACAAGTCATAAAAGGGCCAAGTTTGAAAATCCTTGCCATAGGTTCAATTTGGCTGAGCTTCACACCCCTTTTGGTTACTTTATGATGCAATACAGATAGTCCTCAACTTACAACAGTTCATTTAGTGACTGTTCAAAAGTTACAACAGCACCGAAAAGAGGGGTTTTTTGACCGTATTTCACACGGCCGTTGCAGCATCCCCATGGTCACATGACCAAAATGTGGATGCTGGGCAACTGACTCATTATTTATGACTGTTGCAGTGTCCCGGGGTCATGTGATGGTCACTTTTGGTGACCTTCTCAGAAGCAAAGTCAATGGGGAAGCCAGATTCGCTGAACAACCGTGTCACTAACTTAATTAACTGCAGTGATTCACTTAACAATTGTGGCACAAAAAGTCATAAACTGGGACAAAATTCACTTAACAAATGTTTCACTTAGCAACAAAAAATTTGGGCCCTATTGTGGTCGTAAGTCGTTAAGTTACCTTATAAATCCAGAAAATAGGTTAATTTGGTTATCGAGCCGAGTGTGGTATACAAAGGTAGCAATCAAGCCTCAAACTAATCAAGAGGTCTCCCAACTTGACAACTTGAAGACTTATGAACTTCAACATCCAGAATTCCTCAACCAGCCAACATGGCTGGCTGGGGAATTCTAGGAGTCGAAGTCCATAAGTCTTTAAATTGCCAAGTTTGGAGACCCCTGAACTCATCAACCAGCTTACCAGGCACGCTGTATGAACTCAAGGTCACCTCTGAAGGACATCAGGAAGCTACAGCTGCTTCAAAATGCAGCAGAACAAGCAATAATGGGCACCTGCCTTTATGTTCAAATGTCACTGCTATATGTTGTGATTCCTCGCCAGCCAGTGCACCCGGCAACTGAGTCTGAGGAATCAGAGGACTCAGAGGAGGGGCCTGGGGTGACATCAGAGTCAGAGGAGGCTCTGAGGAGCTCCAAGACTTACAATCTGACGAGGAGCTTGGCCCCTCTACTCGCGCTCAGGCAGAGACACAGCTGTGCTGGGAGTCTGAGTTGGACAGTGATGAATCACAGCTGGGAGATATCCAGGATGCACAAAACTGCCAGCAAGAAAAAAGAGTAGGACAGAGGAATGCAATGGGGCGGCCCCAAAGGCAAAGGAGAAGGCATTAGGAAGCCACGGCTGCATAATGAAAGGGAAGGTGTGGGAAGTGCTGGTTGCCAAAGGCAACCGTTCATGTTGAGGACCGAGTTTCTGTGAACTGTGTTTGTTTGCCTTGGACATTGACTCAGGTCTGTGAATAATCAAAGGGGATTGTTTTTTTCCTGGGTTCCAGCCTGCTTGTTGGAAAAGGGGCTTCTCCTTGTGAGCTTAACAAGGACTTACGTAGGCTGGGACAGAACACTATATAACAGTGGTGGTAAACCTATGGCATGGGTGCCAGAGGCGGCACTCAGAGCCCTCTCTGTGGGCACGCACACCGTCACCCCAGTCCTAGGCCTTCAGCTAGGTTTTATAAAACCTTTTCGCTTCAGGTCTCTGCTGCCGTGTGCAAAAAAAAAAAAAAAGGTTCAATCAATCAGTCAATTTCAACTTCTCGCTGGGAAAAAAAAGATCTTGCAAAGTTGGAATTGATTGATTGAACGTTTTAGTCCCACCCAGTCTGCCGTTACCACCATAGCCACGCCCACCCAATGGGCCACACCCACCTAATTGGCCACACCTAGCCAATGGGCCACACCCACCCGGCACTAGACAATGCATAAGTGGGTTTTGGGTTGCAGTTTGGGCACTCGTTCTCTAAAAGGTTCACTTTAACAGCCAGTTACAGCGGATTCCCCCCCCCCCCAAAAGCTACTTACAATGCAGTCACAAAGTTAGAATCGCTGCAGTGCTCCTGTGGTCATTCACCCTTACGACTGACCGCAGTGCTGCAGAAGGCTCTTGGGCCCAGCACTTTCCGCAGTGGTGTGCAGACGGTGTTAGGCAAACAGAACAGAGCCATGTGGTGAGAAGCAGCCACCCTGGTTTGAGGCTACCGGAATTCAATGCGGCCGCTAGGAACCTGGCAGCCGATTCTGGAATCACACCGCGTGGCCCCACACAACGAGACCATCTGTTCCAGTGATGCAGAAGGCCCCAGAAGGCTTCAGTGAGGAGGAGGAGAATATAGGATCGGTGGGATGGGAATTGAGTCTAAGGCCTGCAGGGATCTGGTGGGAGGGGGAAAACACCTGTGGAGACCCAAGGAAGGGGCAGGAAGCAGAGCACAGGTAAGACAGATAATCTTAACAAGCCTGATAAATAAAAAAAAAAACTCCTTATTTCCCCCCTCCAAGATTGGTTTAATATAATCCCATCAATATTCATCACTCAAGTTCCCAATTAAAGAAACATTGAAATATTATACCAGGAAAAGACAACTTGGCAACCCTGGATATGTTACCTGCTAACAAACTCTGCTGGACTTCCAAAAGATATACAGGCAATCCTCGACTTACGACCACAATTGAGCCCAACATTTCCATTGTTAAGCAAGACAGTTGTTTTTTGCCCTATTTTACCTTTCTTGCCACGGCTGTTAAGAGAATCACTGAAGTCGTTAAGTTAGTCACACGGTTGTTAAGTGAATCTGGCTACCTCCCTGACTTTTGCTTGTCAGGTCACAAAAGGGGATCACGTGACCCTGGGACATTGTAACCGTCATAAATACATGCCGGTTGCCAAATATCTGAATTTTGATCATGTGACCATGGGGATGCTTGCAATGGTTGTTAAGTATGAAACATGACCATCAGTCACTTTTTTTAGTGCCACTTCAAACAATCACTAAACGAATCATGATAAGTCGAGGACTACCTATATGTATATACCGTATATGCCGGCATTCAAGATGACCCCCGTCTTTATCGCCGGGCCGCATTCCTAGAATGTCGTCTTGTATGCCGGAAACTACCAGTATTTCCAGCGTATAAGACGACTCGGTGTATAAGACAACCCCCGTCTTTGGCGCCGATTTCAGCGCTCGCAGAAGTCGCCTTATACGCCGGCATTTACGGTATATATATTTTAAAAAATGTCCAGAACCTTCCAAGAATAGCCTATGCAGAATACTCAACATTCTGGACATCTTTGGGTTTTTTTGCACTCGTGCTATCATGCGTGGGATTGGAAAGCACTACCTACCTGATATTCAGGATACTGCTTATAAGCGCTTTTATGTGCTTAGAGCTCAAAGCATTGTTAGAGACCCCACATACCCATTTTACAGTCTGTTTCTGTGGCTCCCCTCTGGGAGAAGGTTTCGAAGTATTTACAACAGGATCACCCGATTCTGTAATACCTTTGTTCCCTATGCCATGCGTCTGGTAAACTTGCAAGATTCGTTTTTCTTGCCATGCACATGTATACATAACCCGAACTAGACTGTGTTGTTTCTCTGTGTCATATAATATATGTGGGTATATGCATAATTCTGTATTTATTTATTTATGATGTATTTATGTAGTGCATATTGGAAGTGGTGACCCCTTGAGAGCTGCATGCAATGAAATTTCATTTCAATGTATGCCAATTAGTGTACATTCAAAGTGACAATAAAGTTATTATTCTATTCTATTCTATTCTATTCTATTCTGTTCTGTTCTGACCTGTTCCATTCCATTATTCTATTCCATTCCTTCCATTCCACTCCATTATTCTATTCTATTCTATGCTATGCTATGCTATGCTATTCTATTCCTTCCATTCCACTCCATTATTCTATTCTATTCTATTCTATTCTATTCTATTCTATTCTATTCTATTCTATTCCATTCTATTCCTATTCTATTCTATTCTATTCTATTCTATTCTATTCTATTCTATTCTAGTTAACTTTGTGCCTTGTATATAGTATGTTACACGAACCCAGCTAATTACTTTTACTAAGCAAATCATGGACTTGTGAACTCATATCACGATTTGCACCCCATAAATTTATTAAACTATTAAATTTGTTTTGCCACCCATCTCACTGCAATAAAGCCTTCCTCTACCAAAATTTTGGAAAATTGCTCTGAAGGTTGAAGGCTTGACCAGGACTGCTGGACCCCTCACTTCCCAGGAATTCATACCAGCCTTTTCCAAACTCATATTAAAGTGTTTAATCACTGGAGAAAGAATTTGCTTCCGAAAGGCAGTGCTACTGACTCTTAACTGGTTCAGACACAGATGATGTAAAGTATGAATATCACTCAAACAGGGGAGTCTCGGCTGATTAATTTCAATCATGCCAGATAAGTTGTCATAAAACTGCCTATGATTAAAATGCCATTTTAAAAAAGGACAATACATACATCTGTCCCAGCCAGCATGATTTCAGAAACGTCATTCTTGTTCATGAGAACCGAGGGAAGAGGCCTTTTCTAATAAAGGGCCTGACCCAACCATTTTTCATATTATCTTTGTAATATCTAGGTATCTTTGATAATCAGCTACCCAATTTGCTAATTAGAAATAAAGAACCTTTTAATCTAATCAGTCATCAATTAAACACTGCAGAACTGAGGGATCTGCCCACTACCCAAAGACCAGCATTTCACACCAGGTGGCAGCATCCAATCAACCTTGCGGATCATGAAAAAGCTAAGAGTTGAAGATGGTTAATAGTTGGATGTTAGGTCATCAGAAGACCTCAAGGCCTTCTGGAAACAGGAGCGGAAAGTTGAAAACTAAACTTTCTCACAATAAAGGATAAATAAATATTTATAGTTCAGGGTTGAAACAAGGGGCCCATGGTGCTCTCTGAGCTTGGTTGTTTTCTTGCAGACGTTTCATGACCCAACTAGGTAACATTATCAATGCTAGAAGGGAGTGGGGTTTGTAGAGAGGAGGAGGAGGAGGAGGAGGAAGAGGAGGAGGAGGAGGAGGAGGAGGAGGAGGAGGAGGAGGAGGAGGAGGAGGAGGAGGAGAATAATTATGGGGTCCTTGATGCTCTCTGAGCTTGGTTGTTTTCTTGCAGACGTTTCATGACCCAACTAGGTAATACCATCAGTGCTAGAAGGGTTTGCAAACTGATGTTATCTACTATGGTGATGAAATGTCTGCAAGGAAACAACCGAGCTCAGAGAACACCAAGGACCTTCTCACAATAAAAAGCCAACTCCATAGTACAGATGGTCCTTGACTTACAACAGTTTGTTTAGTGACCACTCAATGTTACCACAGCACTGAAAAAAAATTGACTTATGACTTTTCACACTTATGACTGTTGAAGCATCCCCATGGTCATGTGATTTACATTGGGATGTTTGACAACTGGTTCATATTTATGACGATTGCTGTATCCCGGGGTCATCTGACCATCTTTTGCAGCCTTCTGACAAGCAAAGTCAATGGGGAAGCCAGATTCACTTAACAAGCATGTGAGTAATTTAACAACTGCAGGGATTCACTTAACAAATGTGGCAAGAAAGGTCGTAAAAGTTAAGTTCACTTAACAAATTTCTCACTTAGCAACATAAATTCTGGGCTCAATTGTGGTCGTAAGTCGAGGACTACCTATATTACTTCAAAACCCACATGGTCACCCTCACGATGTCGAGCTTGACATAAAAGTTTATAGTCCTTTCTACTTGTGGGTTACCATGTTTGAGTCAGACCTTATTAGTAAGAGGTTTGGATAGCAGTGGTACAGTGTGTTAAATAAATTACAGGTACAACCATTCATACAGCAACGGTTCAAAGTTATGATAAATAAACAAATACCGTATTTATTAAATTTGTTTGCTGTTCATCTCACAAGGCAATTGTGATTGTGCTACTTAACAATGGCAGTACTGATAGTCCTCAACATATGACTACAATGGAGCTCAAAGTTTCTGCTGTTAAGCAAGACAGCTGTTAAGTGAGGTGTGACCCATTTTATCACGTCTTTTAACACGGCTGTTAAGTGAGTCACACAGTCATTAAGCAAATCCGGCTTCCCCCATTGACTTTGTCAGAAGCTGGCTGGGAAGGTTACAAATAGCAATAGCACTTAAGACTTATACACTGCTTCATAGTGCGTTACACATGACACATGTTATCATCATTTGTAACATATGACCCTGGGACCATGCAACTGTCATTAATACATGTCAGTTGTCAAGCACTCAAATTCTGATGTGATCATGGGGATACTGCAATGGCCATAAATGTGAAAACTGGTCATAAGTTACTTTTTTCAGTCCCTTTGCTTAGTGCCATTCACTAAATCAGGGGTCTTCAAACTTGGCCCTTTTATGACTTGTGGACTTCAACTCCCAGAATGGCTGAGGAATTCTGGGAATTGAAGTCCACAAGTCATAAAAGGGCCAAGTTTGAAGACCCCTGTTTTATATACTACCGATATATAGACACATCACAGGACTTGAATATATTTTCCAAGACCCTCATGGCTATTCTACCAAGTGCTGGTCTGCAACATATTTCTTGACTTCTACTTTTACTGTTGATGGTTGATCCTAAGTGGCAGAAGCTACCCACCACTTCACATCCTCCAGTGTCAATCCAATAAGGCTTGTTCTATCTGTTGTCAGAGGAACACTTGCCTTCAGAAATAATGGGCGCTCCATCACTGAGATTTTTAAGAAGAGACTAGACAGTCACTTGTCTGAAATATGTTCTCCTGCTCAAGCAGGGCGCTGGACTAGAAGACCTCCAAGGTCCCTTCCATCTCTATTCAATTCTATTCTGTTAATTTGGTCTTCTTTCTAATTAATTTCAGTTCTATTTTTTCACTGTGCATTTTGACTTTTAGGAATCATTTGAATCAGTGTTTCTTAAAGCATGGTCCAAAAATTCCTGGGGATCACTCAGATCCTCTCAGGAGTCTTCAAAATCACATTTGTTTGCCTGATATTGAAGTTATTTGCAAGTATTTAAAACAATGTCACTCATCTCATTAATTATTTGTTAAAAATGCTGTTCATTAAAAAGATTTCATTTAACAGCTAATGGCTTAATCTTGTTATTTTTACATGGTTTAATAGACATTCCACAAATGCATCAATTTTAACCTTTAATACGTTTAGCATAAATACAACCCATACAACAAAAAGCTCTTTTAGGGTCCTCCATAATTTTTACAAACAGAAGGGGGATCTAAGAGCAAAAAGTTTGAGAAACACAGATTTAAACAAACAAACATAGGACTTTTCCACCCATTAGTTACTGAATTGGTTTTTTTTTTTTTATCACAACTGCAAAATGAAAGCCAGAAGAGTCTGTTTCTCACTTTCCTCTGACCCACCTTTCCATATGCAGATGTACACACATGTGTATTGCAACGTTTTCTCCCAAAGGAGTGTATAGTGACCCATCTCCGCCTCTTCAACTACCCCTCCCTATAGCTCTCTGGGGGAAACCTACAGTTCCAGCCCATATTTTTTTTCCTAATTCCTCCCCTTTCACACATACGCATCGCCTCTCTTACCATCACAAGTTATCCATCCCTTGCTCAATCCCACGTGAGAAGGCACCGACCCCCTCCCAGGGCCAAGATACGGGTTTTCAGCACATACGGTGAAGCAGAGTTCGAAACAGCCCCCTCCCCCAGCTCTCTCACACAACACGTGTACAGAGGCGACTTTTGTAGGCAACGTCGGAAAGACACGTGGAAACACAACCCCCAACATCTCAACCGCCCCTTTAAGTGTCCAAGAAGCGAAACCCAGCTCGGGGTCTTCCGCACCGGCCCCGCAGGCGAGCCCTCACCCTCCTCGGGGTCGTCCTCAGGGTCAGGCTGGGCGCGGGGCAGCGGGTTGAGGAGACGCTCCAACTCCGCTGCTAAGGGCGCCGCCATCTTTTCCCGTCAGAAGGAGGAGTAGGCGGTTTGGGCGGGGCGAGGGCGGGGCTTCTCGCTAAGGAAACGGCGGTGGGCGGAGTCTCCAGGGCCCGCCTTGCTCGGGTCTCGCGCCCGTTGTGGATGCTGCATCCTTTGAAGTAGATGCAGCGTCCTAATACTTTTTTAATTATTATCATTATTATTTACTTATAAAATATGAACATACAAAAGCAAATAGTAGGGGGAAAAGAGAAGTGTGGAAAAGGGGGGAAAAAAAACCCGTGACTTCCGACTTCCTCTTGCAGTAAAATAAGGCAGAATAGAATAGAATAGAATAGAATAGAATAGAATAGAATAGAATAGAATAGAATAGAGCTGGAAGGGAACTTGGAGGTCTTCTAGTCCAGCCCCCGTTCAAGCTGGAGAACTATATTATCTCAGACAAGTGACTGTCTAGCCCAGACATGTCAAACACAAGGCCTGGGGACTGGATGCGGCCCTGGAAGTGGTTTCATGGGGCTGGCGAAGCCATCCTGGAAACAGTGAGGGAACGGCCCCCGTTGCCTTGGCCCTGTACAATTTTGTGGTGGCCATCTGTGCTGAAATGCATTCAGTCTTAGCTCCACAAGGCCGTCTAGAAACAGCAAGGAACCAGACCCTGCTGTGTTGGACCATGCCTTGGCGCTTGCCCCGGTCTCACCCCCTTCTGCCAGAGACCCTCAGATCTGTTCCACTTCTGCCCAGGCCCCCACAGGTATCTTTGATGCAAACAATGTAGAGCTGGCCATGCCCATCCAGTAGGCCACACCCACCCACCCCCTCCCTGAGGACAACCGCAATGCTGATGCGGTCCTCAATGAAATTAAGCTTGACACCCCTGGTCTAGCCTCTTCTTAAAATTCTCCAGTGATTGAGCGCCCACAATTTCTGGAGGCAAACTGTTCCACTGGTTAATTATAACAGTTCATTTAATGACTGTTCAAAGTTATGGCACTGAAAAATGTGACTTATGCCTCTTTTTCACTTAACCACCGTTGCGGTATCCCCACAGTCATGTGATCAAAATTCAGATGCTTTGCAACTAGTTCATATTTATGATGGCTGCAGTGCCCTGGGGTCATGTGATCACCTTTTACAACCTTTTACAGTCAAATGGGGAAGCCAGATTCACTTAACCGTGTTACTAGTTTAACAATTGTAGTGATTCACTTAACAACTGTGGCAAGCAAGGTTGTAAAATGGGGCAAAACTCAACAAGAAATGTCTTGCTCACCAACATAAATTTTGAGCTCAGTTGTGTCGTAAGTCAAGGACTACCTGTATACCGCCTCTGCGAGGTTTGTGGTACATTTATGAATGGGCAAGTCATCTCTATTTCCCTCTGCAGCCTTGTTCCTAAGGCTGTTTGGACTGCATATATATTGGATATGTTAGCTGGCTAGAGTTATTTGTAAAAATATTAAGGGCAGAAAATAAAGAAAAGTTCTGTAGAGTTTCCATCTGGTGATCTTGCATAAATTTGAAACCTGGATTGCTGGTTAAGGTAAGGTGACCAACTGTCCTCCTTTTGTAAGTTCTGTCCTCCCTCGAAAAGTGTCCTCCTACATGTCCTCCTTTTCGATATTTGAAGACTAATCTGCAGGGCTTTTTTTCCCCTCATAGAACACTCAGAATGGCGTTCCAGCACCTTTTTTTTTGATGCTTTTTTTTCAACTTTTACATGAGCTGTGCTACTCCCACTATTGGCTTTCGAAAGCCAATAGGAATTGCTGCTGAGCACGCCAAAACACCCAGCTGGCAAACTTTGCACATGCAGGTTGTCTGTATTATTGTTGCAATGAGTAAAATGTTTCTTTAATTTACGACATTTTTTTCTTCAATTTATTTGTGTCCTCCTTTTCATTGTAAAAAAGTTGGTCACCTTATTAATGGTTCAGTTTTAATCTTGCGTTGATTACCCAGATTTATTTATTTATTTAGAAAAATTACATGGCCGCTCAACTCGCTTTCAGTGACCAGGAGCAACTTATAAAGATAAAACCCCAACACAAAATCCAGTAATCCCCCAACCCCTTGGCAACAGCAATCTGACAAGCCACTTAATGGGTTCCATAGCTACTCATTGGCAGAATTACATCTTCAGCCCTTGGGAAAGAGAGTCAGGGTGGGGAGGGGTCAATCTTATCTGCATGGTTGATGTTTCACAGAGAAGAAGCCACCATGGAGAAGACCCTTCTGGGTCCCGCAAGATGGACCTCCTTAGGGATGGGGACTTGTAGTATTCCCTGCCTCCCTGCTCTGGTGTGTCCGGTAGATAATGACAGGGAAAAGAGAGTGCTTCAAATAGCCATTGTCTGAGTTGAAAGGTCATAAAGGCTCTTTAAAAATAAATAAATAACCAAAGGTCCTCACTGGTCCAGAATCATTCAGCATCTCCCCAAATCTGAGGCACATGGACAACCCTGAAATAAATTAACAAGGCCATTCTGAATGGTACAGGGTCTCCTGCTTGTGCAGGGGGTTGGACTAGAAGACCTCCAGGGTCCCTTCCAGCTCTGTTATTCCATAATTTTATATGGAAAGAAAGAGGTTTGAAGGGCAGATTTGGGATTGAGGAAATCAGAGACTAAACCAAGAAGATGGATTGGGACATCAAAAGCTTACATGACCCTGAGGCTTTCTCCATTGGTCTTTAGGATGCATCTTTTTCCCTCCCATCAAAAACATAATGGCTGCTGTCACACAACAGGCTCAGCTCTATTGACTGTGTCTTCTCCCAGTTGTGAGTCAAATGTAGTCAAAACAACTCCATCCATCCTCCAGCGGGAGATTCTTGAACACAGAACTCAAATTTAGCAGGAGTTGAAACAATCTGAAAGAATAAAAATGCACTGGGACATCTTATCTCTTGAAAAACAAGACAGGTTGGGGAGGCGAGAGTGTACAGTCCATGTAATCGTCGACTTACGTCCACAATTGGGGGTAGAATGGATCTTGCTGGAAAACAAGGTCAATATATTGATCCAGGTAAAATTTGCATTTTTACATGCCCCTCAAAGAGTAATGCTTTTCTTTTACCAATCTAGAAAAGCAGTAAATATTATGGCAAGGTATATGGGATGGGATCGCTCTCTGATTCAATTAACATTTTTAGACAAATGTGGGACAGATTTATTTAGAAATAAGCTCCTTGCGATGTCCAAGGGGACCTCCTTCCTCATTTATTTGACCATTTAAACAATTCATAAACTATTTGCCTTCATTTGTAATTCATGACTTTGGGCAACTGTCTAAAAAGTAAAAAACAAAAAACAAAGCCCCCCCCCAAAAAAAAATAACTGTGTCCCAAATGTATATAAAGCAAGGGTGCCCAACCTTGACAACTTTAAGTCCTGTGGACTTCAACTCCCAGAATTCCCCAGCCATCTCTGCCCATGAGAAAGGACATTATATTTCGTTATTTGTGATAGATCACTACCTCCTTTGCTGCGGTTAGGAGAGTCCAAGAGTAACCATGATTGCTGGATTGATACACAAACATAGTCACAGACACACATTAACCCTGAGGCTGTGTTGAGCAGAGAGGAACGACAGAGACATCTGTAGAGGAGATTGATATAAACAATATGGTGTCACTACATGTAACCCAAGCCCCACCCCTTTTAATGGGCATGCAAAGCTCCTCCCCTTTTAAAATCCAGATGCATGAAAGGGCAAAGTTTGCTGATAAGTCACCACTATCTTGGCCTATTGGACCACCCTCATGGGCACACCTGGAATGAAGTGTATGCATTGACTGACGTGCACATAGAGATTTGTACATGCACATGTTGATTGCACACTTGCACTTCTTTGCTGAGGAATTTGGGGAGATGCTGTGGAATGTCGCATAAAATGGCTTCCAAGACAGGGTAGGGTGTGAGGGATTATGGCTTTTGCACAAAATGGCGGCTGCTGTGCTAAGCACCAAAAAGCATGCTGGCTTTTTCCAGGCCCGGCAATCATCTTTACCATATCAAATTATTTTGCCTTCCCCACCTCCAGGCAAGGGACACAGTTTCACACACACACTATTGGGCAGGAACCAGTAACCAGTTATATTTTCTAAAAAAGTTGTATGGGGCCTGTATGGAGTTGAGCAGAGTTTGATACAAATTCTGATCCATTTGGGCTTCTCTTTTTTAGACCTATGGTTTCTAGGCTGCAAAAATGCAGATCACCACTAAGGAGTAGCAAAGAGATGTTTTTTAGAGCAGGGGTGGGTAATGAAGCCCGTTTTTATGACTTGTGGACTTCAACTCCCAGAATGCTGGCTCAGGTCCACAAGTCATAAAGGGGCCATAGTTCCCCACCTCTGTTTTAGAGGTTTGGAGTTTTGCAGTCACGATATGGCCAGTCCAGTTGCATGGCACACAATGCCATCTTTGAAGACCTTGCCGATTCCTCTGCCACCCCACCATTTGGCATGTCAGTGGGCTGTGGGTCTTCAGAAGCAATCTGCTGCAGAAATGGTCCCTGTAGCCCATGTCTTAATTGGGATGTGACATTTGTCAGACTGTGAAAGTCTTCCACTACGGAAGAGCAACCTGTGATCCAGGAAGAAATAACTTCCAAATGCATGTACAAATAATAATATTAATCATCATCATCATCATCATCATCATCATCCACATTTGTCTATCCCAGGTCCTTGATAAGGACTCGATAGACAAAAATACCAAATCCAGTCTGAACACCTGGCTGACTGTGCAATGATTAATAATAATAATAATAATAATAATAACAACAACAACAACAATAATAAAGTTGGAAGGGACCTTGGAGGTCATCTAGTCCAACCCCCTGCTCAGGAAGGAAACCCTATGCCATTTCAGACAAATGGCTGTCCAGTCTCTTCTTAAAAACTTCCAGTGTTGGAGCATTCACAACTTCTGGAGGCAGGTTGTTCCACTGATTAATTGTTCTAACTGTCAGGAAATTTCTCCTTAGTTCTAGGTTGCTTCTTGATTTTTTAAACTCCCATGGAAAGTCTTGATCAAATACTTAGAACAGTTTGTTTAGTGACTGTTCGAAGTTACAACGGAACTGAAAAAAGTGACTTATGACCATTTTTCACTGTTACGGCCATTGTAGCATTCCTGTGCTCACGTGATCAAAATTCAGAACACTTGGCAATTGGCATGTATTTATGACCATTTCAGTGTCTTGGGATCATGTGGTCACCTTTGGCGACCTTCTGACAAGCAAAGTCAATGGGGCAGCCAGATTCACTTAACAACTGTGTCACTAACTTAACAACTCCAGTGATTTACTTAACAACTGTGGCAAACAAAGTTGTAAAATGGGGCAAAGCTCACTTTGCAAATGTCTCACTTAGCAATTTGGGCCTCAGTTGTGGTCATAAGTTGAGGAATACCTGTATTTATTCAAGTTTTCCATCACCACAGCCTCACCCACTGAGTTTCCACAGATGGAGCTCAGTTTTGCTTTAGGGCATTAGTGGTCCAATCCTACCTTTAAAGGTGCATCCAGAGCCAATCAAATCCAGTATTGGCCAAAGAAATCCATTTGCACCAGATCTTACTGCAGGGATGGCTCACTTGTTAGAAATCTGGAACGTATTTAATTTCATGTCTTTAACACCTTCAGAAGGTGGAAACTGCTGATTTTTAATTAGTATTTGCAGTTGTAATCAGAGAAGAATTTTGTTAGGTTTCCCTTCAAAACTGCACAAGGATTCCAGCTGAGCGTGATGGAAAATGACTTAATGAGCAAAAAATCAAACTCAACTTTAAATTGTCTTGAAAGATTCTTTAAGATTCTTACAGAATTTTGAAGGGGCACCAATGATGTAAGACGGCATTTCTCAAACTTAATACCTTTAAGATGCATGGAATTTAATTATCAGTTGACTGGGGAATTCTGGGAGTTGAAATCCACACATCTTAAAGCAGGGGTCTTCAAACTTGGCCCTTTTATGACTTGTGGACTTCAACTCCCAGAATTCCTCAGCCAGCGTGCCTGGCTGAGAAATTCTAGGAGTTGATCCATAAGTCATAAAAGGGCCAAGTTTGAAGACTCCTGTCTTAAAGCATGTTGGCTGGGGAATTCTGGGAGTAGAAGTCCATACATGTACTGTATCTTAAAGCATGCTGATTGAGGAACTCTGGGAGTTGAAGTCCATACATCAGAGTTGCAAAGATTAAGAAACAACTCTATAGCAAATTCCCTAAAATAATTCCACGTTTGTTTTTACCTATTTGTTTGGATAGTCTCGCATAACATTGTGGAAAGCACTGAATGAAACACGGCTTATCTAAATATCAGATTTTCTAGTTTTATTAAAAATTCACAAATTTTTTTTAATCCAACTTTTCCCCCCCTTTCATACAGTGAATGGTCTAATATGCACTGGAGGTCACACGAGCTTCGTTTTATTTGAACAATAAAAGACCTATGAGAAATTTAATATATAAAGAAAAAAAGTAGCAGCTGCTGACTGCATATTTGATCATAAAATTTAAATATTTTGGACTTCTTTTTTCTTTTAAAGACACAAAAATAAAACCTGTGTGGGCCTATATAAGTCATATTAACAATTCCATTAACCTTGAACAGGACTAAACATTAGCAAAGATGTTAATTTCCCCCCCCCCCACCCTTAACCTTGTAACACTTGGTTTAAAAGATTTTCCTGGCCTGTAGGTACCTATCACCAGTGGTGGGATTCAAATATGTGAACAACGGGTTCTCTGTGTGGATGCCACTTCTGTAAGTCCATTCTGGGCAACAAAAAATTAGCTATTGGTTCTGCCAAATTGGTGCGAACTGTCTGAATCCCACCACTGCCTGCCACCCAAGTATTTTGTGCTATAGAATTGTTTATTTGGCAACGTCTGATTTTTAAAGGTATGTGTTCTTTTGTCTTGTGTAAACACCACCTCAATAAACTAGCAAAGTGAATCACAAGCCCTGTAATGTTCTACTACATCTAGGGGGGGGGGAAATAAATCAAAGGGGGAAAAAGTGAAGATGAATGATTTTGGTTGATTGCTCAAAATACTTTGCTTTTGAACAAGAGGTTCTAAAACAGGATTATTATTATTTTTGTAAAACATTGAGCTCCTGAATTTTAACATTCGACGTAAACAGTTGACTGTTTTTTTTTCTAGTTCCATAGAGTCTTTATTTTTTATTTGTTTAGCTTTTATTTTTTTGTGAAGGTAGAACACTTTATTCATTTTTTCAAGTCATTCTTTTTGAACGTAGAAGTCAAAGAGGACTTCTGGCTTTTGAGGATTATTGGTGTGTGTTGCTCGGAGAAGGTAGAAAGTTGATACTGAGGGCTAACATTTAAATATTTGTTACTCTGGTCATTCCCCCCCACCCAAAAAAACCCCTCAAAAATCCCTTCCCAAAAGAACAATAAAATAAACTACATTTTGTCTGCCTGAGAGGCATTTCAGAGGCTTAAAAAGTCTGTCACTGTGAACTGCGTTCAACTTTCAGAGGCAAAATTAACAAGCAATAAAATCATAAATTTTAAAATTGCTAGAATTCTTTTAAGCCGTTCATTTTTCCCTTTTTTTCTTATGGACCTTGGCTTGCTTTTTTCCCCAATACTAGTTTCTTTTCTCCTGATGGAAGGTTATTCCTCTCAATTCCTAGAGGGATGGTATCATGAATGTCAGCATCCAAGGATATGCCATCTCATAATATATATTGCAGTATCGAAACACATCTGCTTCATAAGTGTCTTTTTCACTCAGTACAAAAAAAAAGAAAACAGTCTTTCTTCCTTCTATTGTGTTAAGATTGTCCCCCAGTTTATAGCAAAAATTTCCCTGGGCTCTGAATAACTCAATTAATTCCCAAGATTAAGCTGAATGAGGAAAAAAAAAAAAAAATGAAAAAATGCCGGGCAGAAGGGGAAAAAAATGTCTGTTTCTTGGAACTCATTTCTATACATCTTGGTATATGCAGGATGAACGTTGCTTGACCCATGTCTTCCAAACAAAGTTCCTGGTGTTTAAAGCTACCATACAACAGCCTCATTCATTTCTGGTGGATGTGACAAGTGGTTACCGTAGTTACCACCGCCATTGACCGATATTGATGAAAATGGAGGACTTGGTCCAAACACTTCTGCTGACATGGAGTGCAAGGACCCGGGTAAATTGGGTTCTGGACTAGGTGAGTCTCCGGGAGGGTGGGACATGATGTCTGTAAAACGCTGAGCTTCGCTGGAAGGGTGATGTCCAGGTAAAGGGTGATCCATGCCCCCAAGTGGAGTTCCTGACGGTCCTGAGGAGGGCACAAAGGGGAGGTCCACTGGTGTCTGGGCTTGGGAAGATGGAGGTCCTTGCGGGAAAAAATCATAATTGCTTCCGGGTCCATAATATTCACTCTGATAATCTAGTGAATGGAGAAGAGAAGGGAAAGGAAGAGATTTATTTATGTAAATCTGTGGCGTACAGAAATAAAATAACCCAATGCAAACCCCAGTACAGATAGTCCTCAACTTGCGACCATAATTTCTGTTGCTAAGCGAGATGGTTGTTAAGTGAACATCACCTCATTTTACGACCTTTCTTGCCACAGTTGTTAAGTGAATCACTGCGGGTGTTCAGCTAGTAACACGGTTGTTAAGTGAACCTGGTTTCCCCATTGACTTTGCTTGTCAGAAGGTCGCAAAAGGTGAGCCCATGACTCCGGGACACTGCAACCATCATAAATATGAACCAGCGGTCAAGCATCTGAATTTTGATCAGGTGACCATGGGGATGCTGCAACAATTGTGTGAAAATCGGTCATAAATCACTTTAGTGCCGTTGTAACTTTGAATGGTCACTAAATGAACTGGTATAAGTCGAGGGCTACGTATACATCCCCCCTATGACAATAATCAAACCAACAATGTATGGGTTCCATATCACTCTGGGGTCCCCAAGATCATTGGCAAAACTGTGTCTTCAGGGCCTTTCAAAAAAAGGGTCCCGGTGGGAGCCAATCTTATTTCTACAGGGATGATGTTTGACAGGGAGGGAAGCCACCACGAAAAAGGCCCTTCTTTGTGGTCCCACCAGCTGGACCTCCTTATGAGATGTACCGTACTTTCCAGCGTATAAGATGACTTTTGAAAGCATTGACATCGGCGCTGAAGTCGGGGGTTGTCTTATACGCCGAGTCGTCTTATATGCCGGAAATAATGGTATTTCCAGTGTACAAGACGATTTTCTAGGCATGCGACTCAGCACCAAAGTCGGGGACCGTCTTATACGCCAGATCGCCTTATACGCCGGAAAATACGATATTATTTATTTGCAGGACTATTTGCTGGGTATATTCCTGCCTTGCCCCCTTGTACAAATCATGAACAGCTACCATGGTAAGGAATTCAAGGAATAACTCTGCTTCAAAAGTCAGTGAATGATAGACAACAACATAAAAGTTGACAAATGGCCCTCTGTCATAAAGATCTCAAAGTCCTACAGGGGAAAAGACCAGGTTTTAGAGTTTGTTGAAAAGCAAAAGATATGGAGGTCTTCCAGATTTTTTTTTTTTTTTGAAAGGGCAACCTATTTCATAAAGATGGAGCCATCATCACAAGAATGTAGCATCATAGGAGCTGGAAGGGTTAGGGTTAGGTAGATCTGTCTAGTCCAGGGATAGGCAACCTTGGCTCTTTTATGACTCATGGACTTCAACTCCCAGAATTCCTGAGCCAACATGGCTCAGCATGGAAACCTCTCCATTTCTCCTCAACATGGCTGGCTCAGGAATTCTGTGAGCTGAAGTCCATGAGTCATAAAAGAGCCAAGGTCTAGTCTAATCTAATGAAGAGAAGGATGAGGGGTGACATGATAGCAGTGTTCTAATATCTCAGGGGCTGCCACAAAGAAGAGGGGGTCAGCCTATTCTATAAAGCAACTGAAGGCAGGACAAGAATCAATGGATGGAAACTAACCAAAGAGAGAAGCAACCTAGAACTAAGAAGAAATTTCCTGACAGTTAGAACAATTAATCAGTGGAACAATCTGCCTCCAGAAGCGGTAAATGCTTGAACATTGGAAGTTTTTAAGAAGAGACTGGACAGCCATTTGTCTGAGATGGTATAGGGTCTCTTGCCTGAGCAGGGGGTTGGACTAGATGACCTCCAAGATCCCTTCCATCTTTATTATTATTATTGTTGTTGTTGTTGTTAAGCAGACAGATGTAAGTCGAGGACTGCCTGTACTTAAGATTCTGTTTTTATTGTTTTCCCGCAAATATGTTTGAACCCCTCCAGGGCAAAGAATGTTATAGCTATACAATAAATAATAAGATACAATTGTTGGCCATACAGTACAGGCAGTCTGCGACTTATGACCACAACTGAGCCCCAAATGTCTGTTGCTAAGTGAATTTTGTGAATTAAATGAATTTTGCCCCATTTTACAACCTTCATTGCCATGGTTATTAAGTGAATCACTGCAGTTGTTAAGTGAGTAACACGGTTGTTTAAGTGAATCTGACTTCCCCATTGACTTTGCTTGTCAGAAGGTTGCAAAAGGGGATCACCTGACCCCGGGACACTGCAACCGTCATAAATAGGAGTCCATTGCCAAGTGTTCGGAGTTTTGATCATGTGACCCTTGGGATGCTGCAACGGTCATTAAGTATGAAAAGGTTTTTTTTTCAGTGCTGTTGTTACTTTGAACAAGTCATTAAGCGAGCTGTTGTAAGTCGAGGACTATCTGTACAGCCTCACCCTGTTAGCTAAAATCTGCTATCCGTGCATTTTTGTTTTCATTGTTCCCTGCTCTTCCTGGTGCAAACGGGGGGAATAGCAACAAAAGGAACAAGCTGAAAGCCAGAACTGTAAAAGCCAATCTCTTGGCTGCCATCTTGGCTTGATGTTTGTCCGTCCCCCGTGGGCCAATCCTGCATGCTTACTCACCTCCATAGAAAGAAAATGGGCCGTTGGGAATTAGCTCCCCCGGCTCTAAACGGTCCACCAGCGGTCTCATGCGGCGGGGGCTGCGGAAAAATGCATGCCTGCGGGCCCCGAGTGCGCTCAGCTGTTTCATGCGTCGTTCCTTAGAGCGCCGGTTCTGGAACCAAACCTGCCAGGGAAAGAGGAGAAAAGAAAACTGGGGTGAAAGTTAGTCCCCCCTTTTTTTTTCCTGGCAATTGGGAAACAACCAGAGATCATAATGAGCAATTAACAATACTCATTAGGAGATCGAAACCAAGGGACTAAGCACATCGTTTCAAGAACGAGAGTTTATTTCTGTAAGGGGGCTTTGTTTTTGCAGCACTGCAGCCGCTAGAATTCTTTCCTCAGGGCTTTTGAACTTTTCTTCAGTAAAGACTGATCAAAAAGTTTGGGGATTCTTGTAAAGTAAAGATGCATTAAGAAAAGCATCTGACGGCGCTCTGAAACAACAATACCAACAACAAGAATGGAATTGGGTATGTCCAGTTTAATGAAGAGAAGGACAAGGGAGGACATGATTGAGGTGTTCCAGTATCTCAGGGGCTGCCACAAAGAAGAGGGAGTCAAGCTATTCTCCAAAGCGCCGGAAGGCAGGACAAGAAGCAACGGACGGAAACTAATCAAGGAGAGAAGCAACTTGGAACTAAGGAGAAATTTCCTGACAGTTAGAACAATTAACCAGTGGAACAACTTGCCTCCAGAAGCTGTGAATGCTTCCAACACTGGAAGTTTTTAAGAAGAGATTGGACAGCCATTTGTCTGAAATGGTATAGGGCAGGCATAGACAACCTTGGCTCTTTTATGACTCGTGGACTTCAACTCCCAGAATTCCTGAGCCGGCATGGCTCAGCATGGAAACCTCTCCCTTTCCCCTCAGCATGGCTGGCTCAGGAATTCTGGGAGTTGAAGTCCACGAGTCATAAAAGAGCTGAGGTTGCCTACTCCTGGTAGAGGGTTTCCTGCCTGAGCAGGGTGTTGGATTAGATGACCTCCAAGGTCCCTTCCAAGTGTATTATTATTATTATAATACCCCAATTGAGGCACCACTAAGAACACTCCCACCAATGCTGGCAGGGCAATGCACTTGTACAAGGTTGTAGTCCTCGACTTACGACCACAATTGAGCCAAAACATTTTGTTGCTCAGGGAGACATTTGTTAAGTCAGTTTTGCCCCATTATACAATCTTTCTTGCCACCGCGGTTGAGTGAGTTCCTGCAGTTGTTAAGTTAGCAATCTGGTTGTTAAGGGAACCTGGATTCCCCATTGGTTTGTCAGAATGTCGAAAAAAGGGATCACATGACCCGGGGACAATGCAACCATTATAAATACCTGCCAGTTGCCAAGTGTCTGAATTTTTTTTCTTTTTTTTATTAAATTTTTTTACAGTTTTACAATAAAATAATCCCCCTCTCCCACCCCCTCAACCCCCCCATCACCCTCCCCCCTCCTTCCCAGAGCTGAATACAGGGTTAATAAAAACTAGAAAAAACCTTACCACTTAAATAGACATCAAACAATTATAAATACATTCAAAGAAAAAAATTTTGAATACTTTAACTCCAATATATAAAAACAAAACAAAACAACAATTTAACTTAAATATAAATTATTCAAAAGCTAAATAATACTTTCTAATCTCATATTTGAGCTGTATAAAATTCACCCATTTTTTCCACACCATAAAATATTTCTCTTGCGATTGGAGTGTCCAAATTCTTATCACGTGGCCATGAGGATGCTGCAACGGTCATAAGTGTGAAAAACAGTGAAAAGTCACTTTTCTCAGTGCTTTTGTAGCTTGGAATCATCACTAAACAAACTGTTGTAAGTGTGGGACTACCTGTAGATAAACAGAGCACCAACCCCCATCCCTTCTAGCATTGATGATGTTACCTTGTTGGGTAATGAATCGTCTGCAAGAAAACAGCCAAGCTCAAACCTGAGCTACAAATATTCTATTCTGTTCTCTTTAAAACCATCTAAAATATTAACAACCTGTATTAAAGAAATATCTGCTTTGGAGATGTATTGGTTTTGGGAGTGAAATAGTTCAGCTGCTGGAATTCTTTGAACGCAAACATTAGGAAGATTTTGTTCTAACAGCCTTTCTGTGAACTGGTAAGCGTCTAAGAATGGGGTAGTTTCACCTGATTATTTATTTGAAGGATTCCTGAATCTGTTATCAGTCTGGGGAGCAATACACATGCTTTCCTTGATTAAGCCCATTTTTTGGGTTACATGAGATAAACTTGTGTAACAAGAAGATAAACCCGTACACAAACCCTTCAGATTGTCTAGGTCAGGGGTAGGCAGCCTTGGCTCTTTTATGACTCATGGACTTCAACTCCCAGAATTCCTGAGCCAGCCATGCTGAGGAGAATGGAGAGGTTTCCATGCTGAGCCATGCTGGCTCAGGAATTCTGGGAGTTGAAGTCCACGAGTCATAAAAGAGCCAAGGTTGCCTGCCCTTGGTCTAGGTCAGTGCCCAAAAACTGCCTCACCCCCGCACCGTCCCACCCCCACTCCACCCCTGCCCCACCCCTACCCACCTGCAGGGCCACCCACCACCTCCACAGCCCACCGCAGATCGCCCAGGCGGCCCAGTAGCGCCAAGGTGGCCACGACCCCCACCTGTGCCCCGCAGCATCATCTGTTTGCAACGGGGTGCAAGGGCGAAGTCTTGTCCTCACTGCCTGGCTGCTATGTCCTTGGCTGCGCTGCTCCAGGCAGGCCATGCCTGGGGCCGACTCTCCTGGGGGGGGGTATGGAGGGGGTTGTGGGGGGAGGCGGGGCTGCAGCGACAGCACAGAGAAGGCTCCAAGTGCTGCTTCTGGCACTCGTGCCATAGGTTCGCCACCACTGGTCTAGGTGCAAAACTAACTAGCTTTGTAGGGTTGGCTGCAGAGATTTTACTCCAACTCAGTTTATGTACATAACTTGCTCTCCATTCTATAAAAGGCCGCAGAAGGTTTCCACATTTCCTGACATTTTCTCATGTGGTACTACTCTGTCTGATCTAGCAGGGAAAGCAGAGAACTTAAGAACATAAGGCAGCACCTTTTCTTGAGTGCAGGACTGTTTGATGTCTTTCTTTTGGGACCATGCAGAATTCAAGAGAATCCAAGAGGCCTGCACAGTTCCTTGCTAATTAAAAAATGGGGATAAAACAAAACTCCCAAGCGTTCCCACTCAATGGGGCACGTGCACCCACATGGCACTAGCAGCCCTGTTTGCACAGGCAAGCAAGCACTAGCTGCCGCCTCTGGTAGAGCCGTGCGCAAGCACAAATGGGGTGCATAACCTGCACACACTAGAGGCCCTGTTTGCACAGGTGCTAGCTACTGCCGCTGCTAGCTTTGTGCACATGCAAAAAAGGGCCTGCGGGCTCTAGTGCGAGTGGGGGTGAGTGCACGCACACACGTGCACACACTGGCCAGCCTATCTCGCAGCCCAGTGGCCAGTAGTCCACGGCCCAGCAGTAGGCTGCGGACCATAGGTTGGGTACCCCTGCTTTAGTTAACTGACTAGCAAAAAGTTCATCTATTTCCTGTTTGGTTGTGTGGCCTATGGCAGTGATAGCAAACCTTTTAGAGACCGAGTGCCCAAACTGCAACCCAAAACCCACTTATGCATCATCGGGTGCTGGGTGGGTGTGGCCCATTGGGTGGGTGTGGCCCATTGGGTGGGCATGGCTGCAGTGGTAACGGCAGACTGGGTGGGACTAAAAAGTTCAATCAATCAATTCCAACTTTGCAAGATCTTTTTTTTCCCGCGAGAAGTTGAAATTGACTGATTGATTGAACTTTTCTTTTTTTTGCACACGGCGGTGGAGGCCTAAAGCAAAAAGGTTTTATAAAATGCAGCTGAAGGCCTAGGACTGTGGCGACGGCACGCGTGCCCACAAAGAGGGCTCTGAGTGCCGCCTCTGGCACCTGTGCCATAGGTTCGCCACCACTGGCCTATAGTATACACCTATGGCAATGTCATTTTTTCCTCTTTTATGTCGACCCAAATGTACTCGTTTCATCATTGTTGTGCTCTATTTGTATAGAGGTGTAGTTATTTCTTATATATAGTGCAACTCCACCTCCTCTTTTATTGGGTCTGTTTCTTTTAAAAGGTTTAACCCTAATCTGCCATCTCTAACTGCATACCACTTAATGGAAATAATCGGCGGGTTCCAGCAAAGATGTCGTAAATCCTGTCACGTAACTGCAGGGCAATGCAAATTGTTGCCAAGTGCCCGAAATGCATTCACAGGATCACAAGAGCCAGGACGCCAAAACTTTGAATTTGGATCATGAGTCATTTTCTCAGGTCTGTCATAACCTCAAACAGCTGCTAAGCAGCCAATTGTAAGTCAAGGACGACCTGTAGAATGGAATGAATGAATGAATGAATGAATGAATGAATGAATGAATGAACGAATGAATGAATGAAATCTCAACAACCTCTTAGCCGCCATATCATTTTGTCTGAGTTGAGGGCTGATCCATTGAATGAATAATTACTGACCCAGTGGGTAGTTCTACTTTAAGCCCCATTTTAAGATCAGAGTCTCAGCTCCTGCAGTTCCTTTCTGGCCAAAGGCAGTTGGCTCATTAGAGATTGCTGGAATAGCCTAATCATTGCTGCATTCATGCAGCAGCCCATAAAGGGAGCTCTGTATCACCCCAAGGTTGGAAAATGCTCTAAATCAGGAGTATGAAACTGCCTTTTGCATCTAAATTCTAAAATTTCACAGGTCAGGGCAAAAAGAAGGGAAAGTTGAACACTGAGTTGCAAGGAGAAGAGGGCGGAATGCATCCATCAGGGCAGAGATTAACCTCAATTTTTAAAATTCTGCTCCCTGTGTTTTAAACAAGGTGGAGAGTCTTGTGAAGAAGCAAACCTGGATCCCTGCAGAAGGAATGGCCGACGTGGGGCCTCCATCACTGGAGGTTTTCAAAAATAGACTGGGATTTGTATAAGGTCCCCTGTCTGAGCAGGGGGTTGGACTAGAGGACCTTCATGGTCCCTTCTAGCTCGATGATTCTATTTTAAAAGACTTCATGACGTTTCATCTCACTTTCCTTTGGCCCAAATCCCCAGAGCCCCAAATAGTTAGTTCAGTTTGCAAATTTCA